CTTCCCACCCTCCCTCCCTCCCTGTCTTTTTTTCTCTCTCTCTCTTGCTTTGGCTACCTAAAGCCTCTCCATCTTCTTTTAAATTTTTTAAATTTATTTATTTTATTTTTTTTACATACACGCACAAATGAGTATTTTGCTTGCATGTATGTGTGTGCACCATGTGTGTGCCTGGTGCCACAGGGTCAGAAGAGGATTTTTGATCCCCTGGAACTGGAGTTAGTAAGCCACATGTGAATGCTAGAAATTGAACTTTGATCATCTGAAAGAGCAGCCAATGTTCTTAACTACTGAGCCAACTCCAGCCCATTTCAAACATTTTCGTTGATCTTCTGTAAAACTTTGTTTGTGGAAGTAAATTGATTCTGAGATAACTTGATCTTCTTTATTTTTCTTTCTTCCTGCCATTCTTTTGAGCAAATCATGCCTTAAGTCAGTTTCACAGACACATCTTTCTTAGCCAACCAGTTGATTGACTGGCCTGTAGTTTGTTGCTTGGCTTGGTTTACCCCTAATGTACCCTTTTTGAATCCTACATGCATGCTATTTACCATACTTTTACCTTTGTGAAAGCTGGACTTCATTTTGAACCTGGTGTTCTTAGTTCAAAAATATTAGATTTCTCCACAGCATCTCTTTAAAATCTACTAATGTTTCCAGGACAAACAAACCAAAATGTCTTTTAACATCAGACTCATGTTCTTGATCACTGGACGTTTTGTTTTGCTTTTATAGTTTTTTATGACTTTGCTGTTTCTTGGATGCTGTAAAAAATAATAATAACTTTTCTCCGTAAAGTTTCACTTATCCAAAGAACCTAGTCTGTTATAATCAAAAGTGCAATTTCTCTTTGTGTTTTTCACATTTGTAGAAACCTATTTTATTGGCTAGATATCTTGCCAAGGTAAATGTTAAAAGTTGAATTTATAACCAGTACCAATTATTGACTTCTGTTGTATTGGAAAAACATCATTAACAAAGTATAATAGCAAAGTGGTTAATAGTGTGAGTTCTGCAACCAGCCTTCCTGTGATTGAATCCTGTTCCTTCTTATGCTACATACTTCACCTAAGCAAGTTACTTAACCTCAGTTAACTAACTTACCAAGGAAAAGATGATGATGATTATAAATGCCTAGTATAATTACATGTAGGTATATGTCAAGTGGTTGACACATGATATGCAGATCACCAAATTCCCATCAAATCTCATCCTTTAATTGAGAGTACTTCTGATTTTTTTCTGTAGATAATCTAATTTTAGTTGAAGTTTAATATTGTTTCAACATGAAATTCTGAGACTTTCATACCCCTTTAAAAACATACAGATCGTATTACTGGATGTTAACTATCTTTTTTTTTTTTTTTTTTTTTTTTTTCGAGACAGGGTTTCTCTGTGTAGTTTTGGCTCCTGTCCTGGATCTCGTTCTGTAGACCAAGCTGACCTCTAACTCACAGAGATCCGCCTGGCTCTGCCTCCCGAGTGCTGGGACTAAAGGTGTGCGCCACCTCCGCCCAGCAGGATGTTAACTATCTTAATGTATAGAATGTAATTATTTTCCCAGCTGTGGAAAGGTTTGTATTTATTCTCTTGGATAATAGGACATAGCCATTTAGAAAACACTTTTATCTTTTTCATTTGTAGCTTACTCCATCTGGAAGCATTTCTGTTATCAAATCAATGCATTTAATTAAAAATCCAGTGAAAACCTGTGACAAGGTATATTCCTTGATTCAAAGTTTGACTTCTCAAATCAGACATCGGATGGAAGATCCCATATCATCTGGTAAATATTTTTTTTCCTTAGAATTTAAAACAGAAGGTACTGTCATTTTTTAGTAAACATTTCAAATAAAATGTATGAATCTTCTTATGATATCAAATCTCTTGTTTGAAGTGTGGCTATAGTATGAATTAATGTATCTATCCAGCAAGGAATAATAGCTAGGTTATTGTGACTTTATCCATGATAGTAAGAAAAAGACAGTAAAATACTCTTATTTGATCATTGAGTTATTTAGCATTTCCAGATAGTTAAGCAGAAAATAGGCAGCACAAAAAGAAGCAGAAAACTGGTTCTAAGGTTAGTCTGAAATCGTTAACAACTTGGGTTTCTTGGTGATAAAAATAATTCATTCAAACTCCTCTTAATATCTAAGACTATTTTCTGCAAATATAGTCACTTATTCTGTTTAGTTGTAGGAATTTAGGAAAGTAAAGTATTTAAATTTTAGAATAGAAAGCATCTTAATTCTAAGAGTCTTGCTATAATTTTTGGTGTTTTTCTTTTTATCAAAATCTAATATATGGGAAAGGTCTCATAAATAAATCAGGCACCTAATGCAAGTACTTGTACTATGTACTTATCCAAGCCTGCAACCATTCAGTATATGTGGTATATGTGGATAGTAGTACCTTCTAGCTTCTTCTATTAGCTTGATCTTGTTCTCTTTAAAGTTTTCTAACTATAGGGAGCCCAGTCATGGCGGCACAGGGCTGTTATCACAGCCAGCACCAGCGAGGCTGGAGAAGGGTCGGGAGTTCAAGGCCAGGGAAAGCTGCAGAGGACTTGAAGCTGTGTTCCTAATCAGATTGTTCAGTTGGATCTACTAAAAATTGTGTGTTGTTTTAGATATCCAGCTGTACCACAGTGAGACTCTGGAACTTATGCTGCGGAGGTGGTCCAAGTTGGAGAAAGACTTTAAAACAAAGAATGGAAGATATGATATTAGTAAAATCCCTGACATATATGACTGCATCAAATATGATGTTCAGCATAACGGTTCCTTGAAGTTAGAAAATACAATGGAACTATATAGGCTTTCAAAGGCATTGGCGGATATTGTCATCCCTCAGGTAAGTTACTCTTAGGAGGTAATTTCCTTTGTGTATAAAGCACTTTCAGAGTACTCACTACTGGATAAAGACAAGTTTGCATGATCCTAAATATATCTGTGAACTTTTATATTAAGCAATTTTGAGGTACTATAAGCTTTTTATCAGTAATATTAATCACAATTACCTGATTGTCTAGACATTTGATGATACTGACTTTTTAAAAGTAGGCATTATTTGTTTAACCATTTTTAGTTTTATGGCAAAATTAAGTCCAAGGTATAAGGCGTTCCCATATGGCATCTGCCCCTACACTAATGGAGCCTGCTTCCTTTTTCTCCCACATTTTACTCCACTGGGATAGCATATTTGTTGTATAGCCACATTGACATATTGTGGCTACCCAGAGTTGATAGCTTATGTTAGGATTTATGCTTGATGTTGTATGTTCTGTGGTTTTTAGCCACATGTATTGTAATATGTGTGGTATAAAGTAGTTCTGCTGAATTAAGGATGTGGTGACTTTTTTTAATTGAATAATAATATGCTGACAATCCTGGGAGCAGTATGGGATAAATGCATTAGCAAGTTTTTATTGCACACAACTAGTGTAGTTGTGAGCACTGTGCTAGGGAAGTGTGTGGGAAGTAAATAAAATGTTGATTGTGGTTCTATGTAAGCATTTTCTCAGACTGGGAATATAGTTCAGTGATAGTATACTTGCCTAAAATGCATAAGGCTTTGGGTCCAGTCTCTGACACTCTTACGTCAGCAGAAAAGCAGAAAAACGAAAATGTCTTTTTACTTTATATATAAATATTTTGAAAATGTTTAGAGGTCAAGATATGATATCTTGATATGATCAGACATTCCAACTGCCAGTGAAAGCTAGGCAGCAGGGAAACAGTGAAATATATATAAGGTTAACACTTATGAGGAAAAATTCAACTTGCCTTACTTATAAAGAGTTGTTCAAATAATGCCTTATTTCTTTCCTGATATTCACAGAATGCCAGTGTTCCTTTCCTGATAGTCACAGAATGCCAGTGTTCCTTTCCTGATATTCACAGGAAGTAGATAGAGGAGACTTTGTAAAGCTTTAGGCAGGGCACACCCTCCGTAGGTGCTCCATTCATTTGACTGTTGCCTGCTCTTCACCACAGAGGAACAGCTGTATGTCTGTTCCATCAGAAATATAGGACATACTCATGGTGAAGATTATGAAACATTTTTGACTACTTATTCATAAATATAAGATGGAGCTCTCTACCCTGAATAGTGGCTCATATGTACTTTTCAAAATAAGCTTGCAGTATATCTAAATGTATCACTTAGTAGTCTCATAAATATGTAAATGCTTTATATGATTGTTAGTACAATCTGTATCATTTTATAACTTATTTAATTTTACCTCTCTTTCTGTTAAATATAAAGAATATTTTAGAATTAAGGATAAACATCTTTTTCTAGTGGTGGACCAAAAAGAGTACTCAAATGGTAATGGAATTTGAGGATAATCTGAGATTTAATTATTTTTTATTTTGCATGTATGGGTGTCTTTCTGGTGTATATCTATGCACCATGTGCATGCAGTGCCCATAGAGTCCACAAGAGGGCATCATAACCCTGGAGCTACAGTTACAGACAGTTATTAGCTGGCATGTGGGTTCTGGGAACTGAACCCAGGTCCTCTGGAAGAGCAGCCTGTGCTCTTAACCACTAAACCATCTCTCTCTCCAGCCCCCTGATAATCTGATCCTGCACTGTGTATATACTTCAGTATATTCTCTCTCTCTCTCCCCCTCTTTTTTTTTTTTTTTTTTTTTTGGTTTTTCGAGATAGGTTTTCCCTGTGTAGCTTTGCACCTTTCCTGGAACTCACATGGTAGCCCAGGCTGGCCTTGAACTCACAGAGATCCGCCTGCCTCTGCCTCCCGAGTGCTGGGAATAAAGGCGTGTGCCACCACCGCCCAGCTCAGTATATTCTCTTTGCAGCTGAAGAAACAGCTCATTGTATCCTAGTAGCTTAAATTATAGTAATTTATGGTTTTGGTGTTTTGTTGTAGTTTTTGTTAACTATGGATTATGAAATGTTAGAACTTGCCATTGAGAGTATAGCAGTAGTCTTGTGGAGATCACCATCGTATGCCTTTAAATAGACTCATCTGGAATCTTTTTTATTGTTATTGTTCTTTAAAATACATCTTTTATTAATTATTTGAGAATTCCATAGAATGTATTTGGATCATATTCCCACATCTGTCCTCCATTTCCCTATTCGCCAACTTTATACTATGTTTTTAAAAAAATAACTCACCAAGTCCAACTTGTGTTGCTCATATATTCTTGCTTGTGGGGCCGTCCTCTGGGGCTTCCAACCTATAGGGGCCACACCCTTAAAGAAAACTGACTCTCCTTCTCCCAGAATCCATCAGCTCTCAGTAGCTTCTCAGCTAGGGGTAGGGTTCATGCACCTCTTCCTACTCCATACTGCTGTAATGTTGTCTCACTTGATCTTGTGCTCATCTGGTATCTTAATTGGCTCTATTTGTAGCAGAAATACAGCAAATACATATGAGAACTTAGCTAAGAATTATTTTAGCTAATTTTAATGAGATGGTGGCAGATGAACAAAAATTTTACTATCTTGAAGAGAAAAACTAATACTAAATAGCCACACACATACACACACAGAGGCAGATACTGTCTATTTCTGTAAATCCAGAAAATATAGTCACAAAATAGTTGCTTTAACTTTGCAATTAAGAGCAAAGCATGTTAGTGTTTGGATTTTCACAGTCTTCTTTCCTTAAATTCATGTGAATACATTTCTTTACTCACAAGTACGTGTATATATGTATATACATTGACAAAAATGGAATCAAGCAAAGCATGCTATTGTTCTACTTGATTTCCTTTTTCATTTAGCATCTGGAACTTCTTTTCATATCAATAAAGCTGTCTAGCTATCTGTCAGTCATCAAGATTGTTATTATTACTATTATTCCCATCGGCTGATATGTATGAGTTGAACCTAACTAACCTCACTTTTTATTTGGAAACCTAGATTCTCGTTTCTTTTTTTGTTGTTGTTGTTTTTTGTTTGTTTTTCGAGACAGAGTGTCTCTGTGTAGCTTTGTGCCTTTCCTGGAACTCACTTTGGAGACCAGTCTGGCCTCGAACTCACAGAGATCCACCTGCCTCTGCCTCCCGAGTACTGGGATTAAAGGCGTGCGCCACCACCCACCGGCAGACTCTCATTTCTTTCACTTACTTTTTACGTAGTTTTTCATTCCTATAACTCTGTTTTTACCAAGGTTAGCAGTGTACAAAAATTTCTGTTATACCTCACTAAATCAAATTTCAAAAGTTTTCCTTGATTATTTTTATTCCAACATATTCCTTTTGTTTGCCAATACAATTTATATATATATATATATATATATATATATATATATATATATATATATATATATATATACCTTTGTGTAACCAATTTATAGTACCATATTAAGATTCACTGACTGAATTTAAGAAGCTAACTTATAGTTTAAATCATTTTTTTAGTTTGATTTCTATTGATGTGATTAAACACTAACTAAGGCAACTTGGGGAGGAGAGGTTTATTTGTCATATGTCAGTCAGTCCTTTGAAGAAAGGCAGAAACCTGGAGGCAGGAACTGGAGCCTAGACGGTGGAGGAACCCTACTCACTGGCTTTCTTAGTTTGCTATCTTACACACCCGAGGACCACCTGCCAAGGGATGGCACCACCCATGATAGTCTGGACCCTTCTACAGCAATTATCCATTAGTAAAATGCCCTATAGGACAGTCTGTTGGAGGCATTTACTCAGTTGTGGTTCCTGCTTCTTAGATGATTCCAGCTAGTGTCAAGTTAATCAAAACAAAACAAAACCCAAACAAACAAACAAAAAAACCCTGAACAAACAAACAAACAAACAAAAAACAGTAGAGCAAGTGACCTTAAGTTCAGTTTTCACAGCTACAGTGTCTGTATTAAATACACATTTTTGTTATTGTCGTCATGGATTTTTAAGATCTTTTGTGTGCACTGGGGTTTGCCATCTGAATCTGAGGGTTTTTCGATTAGTAGAAACATCCCAGAATGAACTTGAACAGTGGGGGTTTTATAGTTTCCTCCTTCTTCCATACCCCCCATCTTTCTGCCTTTGTCCCCATTTGCTCCATCCTCCTGCTTGCTGTCTCCTCTCACCTTCCTTACAAATCACAGATACTCTTTTTTAACAAGGTTTATTTCATATTCATACATGAATTTAAAGAAATGTCCAACTTCCAGTCATCTTCATCAGTTGTCACCCTACACCCCACCACGATTCTATCCAGTTTCATATGTTCTCCTTTTCAAAAAGTCCCACTGGTTCCATTTAATGTTGCTTGTGTGCGCATGGGTGTGGGACCATCTACTGGAACATGAGTAGCCTCTCAGGACCCAAACCCTGAAGACTGACTATCCCTTCAGCAGCAGACATTAGTTGCCAATAGCTCCTTAGATAGGGGTGGGCTTAATGACCCCCTCCCCAATCCATGCTGGGTTTTTGACTGGCTTGATGTTGTGGATGTCTTCTACATACAGTTTCACCTACTCTGAGCTCATTTACGCAACTGGGTTTTCATGACTGGCAAATACTGTTTCACTGGAGACCTCTACTGTCTCTGACCTTACTGTCTTCCCTCTCTCCTCTTCCATGCTGACCTTGAGCATTGAGGGTTGGTATATGATATAAACATCCCACTTAAAGCCGAGCACTCCACAGTCTCCTATTCTCTGCATGTTGACCAGTTGTGGGTCTCTATGTTAATCACCATCTACTATAAAAAGGAGCTTAGCTGATGGCGATTGAGAGATATGTTATCAATTGATGAGTATAAAGATAAGAATTGAGAAGTGAGTTTAATATCGTATCTATTTAGCAGAAAGATAGTCCAATGTTTTCTCCTGTGACCAAGCCATCCACAGGTTTTTGACTCAGTCAGTGGGTTTTATCTTGTGCAAACAGCTTTAAAGCCAAGCAGAAAGTGGTGGCTACTCAGGCCACTGTTTCCTCAGTCCAGTCTTTATTATAGACCAGATTTTCCATTTAGATAGGAAATCACTTTCTCATTCATGACTTTGAAGGATAACATTCATTAAAGTTACCTTGCAATTAACTTGCTCTCTTAACATTTTACGTTGTTTTGATTCTTTAGAAGTCTAATTAACCCACAGTGATTATAAATATGTAATTGTATTTATTTTATCACAACTTTAAGATTATTAGACAATGGCTTGTTTTTTGAGACTGAGTCTTAGCATGCAGTGATTTTAGTTGTTCTTGAACTTTATATAGACCAGGTTGGCCATGAACTCAAGGGTCCATCTGCCTCTGCCTCCCAACTGCTGGCAATGAACACATATACTACCATTACTGGCTAGCCAAAGGCTTTTTCTCTTCTTTTTTTTAGAAAAATCTGTTAGACTTTTTGAACTTTGGTGTTACAATGATTTTAGTTTTACTTCTTTTATTAGTAATTACTTACATATTTGGTTAAAAATGTCTGACCTCAATTTATTTTTGTCTTAAAATTGTTCTCATGTTTTAAACCTTTGGATGAAACTTGACTAGTCATAAAGCTTGCATTCATCTCTTCACTGTTCCCTTTCTGTGGTAAACTGCTTTTTCAATTCCACTATAAAATTCTTCTAATTACACGTACTAGCTTGAAAAGAATGTATTTGCAGTTGCAAAAAATGCAAACTAAGACTTGTCTGATGTTTTAAAAGGATTTAATGTAACGTTTGGGTCTCACGAGAATTTTTCACTTCAAAGAGTGCTTTTGTTAAGACTGCTTATTATTATAGCTTTTTTTTCTAATTTAATTTTTTTTTCTGCTCAGGAATATGGTATAACTAAAGCTGAAAAACTGGAGATTGCCAAAGGCTACTGTACTCCTCTCGTTAGAAAAATCCGGTCAGACCTTCAGAGGACACAAGATGATGATACTGTAAATAAACTCCATCCTGTGTAAGAGACTGCACCAGCCTTTCAAACTCTAGGCATCTGCCATTGTGTATTTCACATCAAAAGTCCTTATTGGTGGTTTATACAGAAATGGAGAATGTGTCACTTGATACATTATGGAATCAGTATTACCTAGTCCTATTAATTACCTGTTAACTAGCACTTTGTGGGGCATAGACAGGGGGAAGGTTGAGGCTTGAGCATGCCATAGGCACATGCCCTGTCACTGACCTACATCCCTGAGATAGTGTTCCTCTCTTGTGCCAACTGACCTCAGTATAGCAATCTAGCCTTTACCCGTGTTCTGGTGTTAGAGTCACCATACCCCATGCCAGTCTCAACCAAGATTTTGTTTTGTGCCAACATGGGAAAAAAAGGTAAAGGCAATAGGAAGATATTTTTTCACCAATTATCTGTTATAAACAATGTGAACCCCATAGGGCAGTATTATTTTTTATCTGTTATTGCTACTAGAGGAACTAAATTAGTGAACTTAAGTCATACTCTTTTATAGTTTCGGTTTTGCTTTCTTTTTTATTATTCTCTGAGGGCCTAGTATGTTAGCTTGTTCTAATTAGAACAATATTGAAGTAACTCTCAGGTGTGGTTTAAATGACAGATTTATTTATTATGGGGCTTTGCTTCTAGTAAGATTAAAGTCCATAAAATCTGCTCCTACCTTTAGGTATTCTAGAGGTGTCCTGTCTCCTGAACGCCATGTCCGCACCAGACTGTATTTTACTAGTGAAAGTCATGTGCATTCCTTATTGTCCATTCTTCGCTACGGCGCGTTATGTGACGTAAGTATGGGCTATGTCATTCTAACTGGCAAATACTTTTCTTGAGAATTTGTACTCAGGTCACAACTGATTTTTTTTTAACTGTTCATTGTTATAATTTTCAATTTTTTTGTGCTTTATCATCATTTCTTGACGATATACTAGTCTGTACTAAGCATTTTGCTAGGTTTGGGGAATATAGACATGTTTACTGTTCTTCAGAGATGAATCATATGGTAAGCTAGACATGATCAGTCATGCCTGTGAGGCTAGGGAAAGCCACAGTTTTATACCAGCCTGTTCTATGCAGTTGTTCCAACAGAGTACCTGACCAACTTACAAGAGGAGAGCTTTGTTTTCGCTCATGTTCAGACCACACTGTGTAGAAGGAAGACACAGTTGATGAGGCTTATGGTTGTGGAACAGGCAGTGTGAAAACATTTGGCTTACATTGCAGTGGACTGTTCAAATGTCTGCTGCCATGAAGAAGCAGAGGCATTGGCTTTATATGGGCTGGCTAGAATCTGTTAGCCTCTGCACCAAGAGGGCTTGGGCTATGTCTCAATTGTGTATGGCTTGTCTAGCATGTGAGAGACCCTAGGTTCAATTACTCCTTTGAGAAAGAAGATGAGAAATAGTAAAAGTGCCATCTTTGCATACAGGTGTGGGTTGGTAGAGCTTTATAAAAGGCAGAGTGAATGAACAAGACCCTAACTTAGCTACAGAAGAAGTTGTATATCCAGTAGTAACGATATTACTACTTTGGGGAAACAGCTTCATCTCTAACATGGTCTCTTTTTTACCCTCTTGAACATACATGAGGGCTACAGGGAAGGACAGGAAGCTTGTGCTGCAGCGTGAGTACAGTGTGATCCAAGACTGGGTGGAAGACAGTGGTTTGTGCTCTATGAGGACCAGGAAGGTTTTAAAGAGAGGAACAGGTGGCTTTTGTTGCTTTGTGGACCAAAGATAGGCAAGTGACTATGAGGAAAATGATGAGGACACTGTTATAGATGATGCAGCTTGAGTAAGACATGGCCGTAGAACGAGAGCTTGTTGGGGAATTCACTATCTACAGCCTTACTCTGATTGTAAGGGTTTATAAGTAATACACCTGAAACCTTCACCAGTCTCTTCTGAGTTGAAGTTTTGGATTTGAATTACGTAAAAATGAACATTTTTAAAGGTTTGTTATGGAAATAAAATTGTTAAAATTATCTGAGTGCTTTAATAACAAAATAGGTTATTGTGGCTTCTTCCATATTAATTATGTTCAAAAAGATATTATTAAAAATTATTTAATTTTATGTGTTCATTGGGGCAGACCTGAATTTTTATCTTTAACAGTAACCCTGATATTGTGTGGTATTCTTAATACAGAACCACAAAGCCCTAATTCATCTCTTCACCCGAAGAAATTCTTAGTCTTTAATTTAAACTCATTTCTATTGATTGATATCTAGTCACCTAAAAAGTAATGTTGGTTTTCCTATCCCTCCATCAGTTTTGAAAAGAACAGAACCTTACCTCCCAAACATGTACACACACGTATGCGTACATACAGATGTGATTTTTCATTCTATAGCATTGCCTTAATTTTGGGATATATCTTGTCTGAAATAAAAAGGAAGTGTATACTGAATCCAAAAGATCAATCAGAATGTAGTTTCCAACTCCTTTTATAATAGGGGACATTCTGTGCTAAAGTTTATGGTGTTTTACCCTCAGGTAAAGTAAAAGACACATGTATGCAGACACAAAAACTGTTGGTTCCTGCTTTGAGTAGTTTTCTCATTTCAGATAGAGCTTTTTGTCTTGAGTGTTCTCATTCTTTTATGGTCCGTTTCAACTCTGGTGCTGATTACATGTGTAAAGATCACTGAATCTCTAAGATGGAGACAGTGGTGAAGGAGGTGATGAAATCAATTGAATTTATGGATGTCTCCTCATGCTGATTGGTTTAGAATCACTACTGTGTAAATGGGTATTTTTTTTTATTGGTGAGAGAAGTGGTAATTTCAGAACATAATATTCTATGTTATCAGGCATAAAATACTCTGCTAGGTACTTTGAGACTTACAAGATTAAAAAGCTGTTCCTTACCCTCAGAATTAAATAGCATTATGTTATATTTCAAGAGACTTTTCCTACTTGGTGTAAATTGTCTTAAAAGATTGACTCTTAGAGTTTAAAATATCATACATATGTGGTAAACATTATAAATAGTTTTTCTATTCAATTGATGTATGTGATGACATTCAATATTAAATAAATGGTAATAAAGTGACTTTCCCATGGAAGGATTTGAAAAATACTTATCATAGATCTTTTGTTCAGGAATCAAAGGATGAGCAGTGGAAACGAGCCATGGATTATTTAAATGTTGTCAATGAACTCAACTACATGACTCAGATTGTTATCATGCTTTATGAGGATCCTAACAAGGTAACAGCATTTGTGATTTGTTTATGGGACCAGAGGTCAGCAAGTATGCGAAATTCTTCTCTATAGAAATGTTCTTTCATGTTTCAGGATCTTTCCTCGGAGGAACGCTTTCATGTTGAATTACACTTTAGTCCTGGAGCCAAAGGCTGTGAAGAAGATAAGAATTTACCATCTGGCTACGGGTATAGGCCAGCTTCCAGGGAGGTAATGAAAGATGCGACTTTCAGTATGTGGTTACCACAGCTCTAGATTTTCATGATGTTTCCTCAAGATTTCCATTACTCTAGCAATAATTTTCATATAACTAGTAGGAAAGAAAAGCTTCAACTTTAAAAAAAAAATATAATTCGAGGGACCTGGAGAGATGGCTCAGCGGTCAAGAGCACTGGCTGTCCTTCCCTAGATGGCAAGTTCAATTCCCAGCACCCAAATGGTGGCTCACCAGTCTGTAACTCTGATTCCAGGGGGATCTGATGACCTCTCTGGCTTCTGTGGACATTGGGCACATATCGTGGTACACAGACATGCATGCAGGCAAAACACCCTTACACATAAATAAAAATAAATAAATCTTTAAAAAAATTACATATATATGTAGTCTGAGTAAATAGCATGTTCCTGTCTATTAGAAAATTTCAGAATTTTATCTTACTTGAATTGTTTGGATTTTAAGCTGTGTTTAGAATGGGTAAGTGTAAATGTAGCTTTTTCGTTATTTTGCTTGAGGACTTCTTATATTTTTTGACTCTATTTAGTATTTGTATGTGTTAATAATACACATATATATGTATATAATCTGTATTAATCATCTTGCTCTTTGATTTGTTAGGAGCAAATATTTACTGCTACTGTGATTATTGAACAAATTTAGGATAAATATACTTGAATGGTATTTGTGGTTTTTCATCTCTTGCCTGTTTCTTTTCCTGTCTTTTAATTCCTTCGTCTTGTTAATTGATTTTTCAGTGTTGCATATTGGGTAATGTTTTTTGTACCTGTGACTGACATTGTTGGGTTTTTTAGAACACTTGCTTGTTTCTTTGAACATTTGTTGTCTCTTTAAATAATTGCCCTTTGTACCCGCTCTCTATTCCACCTCTGACACCTCGCTTATATGCACATTAGCTTTACCATGGATCCCAAACTACTAAGTGTTTCTTATACTTTTCTATATATTTTACTTCTTTTTCTTTCTTGATTGAAGGTACAGTATTTCTTTGTACTTCTCTAATTCACTTGAGTTCCCTAATTCTATCAATACTATTTTTCAATTTACTATTAAACTCTACTTACTTTGTTACTTTGTTATATTACAAGTTGGCAATAGGTTTTAGTTATGTTTTTAACTCTACCATTTCCCTTTGTTTTCTTTTTATAAGTCCTAGTTCTCAACTGACACTCACTTTTGCTTCTAATAATGTGACCGTTAATAGCTTTCATTATAGTTTCTGACCAATAACATTAATAATCGTAATCAACAATGGACTCATTTAGTTTGTGGGTTTTTTTTTAATTTTTCTGTTATTCTTTATAGTCTAATACATAATGATGTCATATTGAACACTGAATATTTAATCACTGAGAAGTAGTAGATGCCTTTAAGCCATGCTTTTGGGGCTAAGGCCTGGTGATCATGTGTCAAGGCCGGCCTGGGCTACGTAGCAAGAAGTGATATCAAATAAATGATTGATTACACTGTAGCGAGAAATTTCTCGGTCCGCTCAGCCCCCTGTGGTCCAGACAGATCTCTCTCACCTGTAGTCCTGCAGCTGCTCCTGCAGCCGCTCGGACCCAAGTAAACACACGGAGGCTTATGTTATTTACAAACTGTATGGCCTGTGGCTTTAGCCACTTGCTGGCTACCTCTTTCATCGTAAACCAACCCATTTCAACAAATCTATATGTCGTGGCCGTGGTGTCACCCGTCTGCTGACATCTTGTTGCTCCTTGGCAGCAGGCTCGCACCTCTCTGCCTTTCCTCTTTCCTGTCTCTCTCCTTGGATTTCCCGCCTGCCTCTAAGATGCCTTGCCATAGGCCAAAGCAGCTTCTTTACTAACCAATGAGGACAGTGTATATTCACAGCATACAGAAAGACATCCCCCAGCATGACACAGAAAAATCAAGGCTTGACTTGACTTTTTTGCTGTAGTCATCTGGCAGTGGGTTACTTTTTCTATAGTCACCAGACAGTGGGTTACTCTTGAACTCTTATTTACTGTTATTACCTTTTTGTCTTGATTATTGAAGCTTAATGATAATTTCTGGTGAAGTCCACTGGCTTTTTTGTTCTTCACGATTACCTTGAATGTTTAAGGTAATTTTGTGCTTTAAAATCTATATTTTACTGAATGTTTGTTACCTAGTTCCCCCTTTCTGTTATAGATAGATACTGGTATAAAATTTTTTAACTTGTCCGTTTCTTGTGCTGTAAGATTCTTACAACCTGGGACTATTTCTCATTCATCTGAGTTCTTGGCGTATGAGGGACTATTTTTCATACCATATTTACCTTAGAATTTAACTATAGTAAATTATTAAAATTTGTATTGTAATCTGTTTCTCATTGTCATCTGATAGTATTGTATATTTGTTTGCTTGTTTGATGAACTTTGGCTGAAGATTTGGTTTTCTATGGTTATAATAATCATTTTAGGCTTAACTCTTCCACAGAACTTGCTTGTCTCTCACAGTGTTTGGCATACTAAGATATCATAAGAATATCAATTCACTTGAGGAAAAACTCTTATATAATAACTAGATCAATTGGTTGTTAGATTTACCAGGAGCATTTTATTGGTGTCTAGAGTTTATTGTTTGTTTGGGAGAGTTGACCAGGTCTTGTTCTGTGGCTTCAAATTCTTGATTCCAGAGTGCTGGGATTACTGGAATGTACCATCACACCTGGCTCAGGAGAGATATTTTAACCTGAGTTTTAAGTGATTTCTATTCTTTTCTCATAGAACGAAGGCAGAAGGTCTCTTAAAACTGATGACGATGAACCTCATACTTCTAAAAGAGATGAAGTTGATCGAGCTGTAATACTGTTTAAACCAATGGTATCAGAACCAATTCATATACACCGGAAGTCACCACTTCCAAGGTCTAGGAAAGTGGCTACAAATGAAGTGAGTATCCACGTAGAGTGGTTTGTATAGCAGAAGCTAACTATATATTAATTCAAACTGGAAAGAAAATACAGCTTTAATTATACAGCTAGGAACCCGGACAAATTTTTAGTTATCAACATTTTCTAATATCCATGTAGAGTGCTTTGTATAGTGGAAACTAACTATGTATTAATTGAACTGCAAAGTATAGAGCTAGAAACCCTGACAGATTTTTATTTATCAACATTTTCTATTTCTCAAACAAATATTCTGTTAAAAACATACCAGTTAAACCAATCTTAGTAGCATCTACCTTTGATCCTAGCACTCTAGAGGCAGGAAGATCAGGAATTCAAAGGTTCGGAGTCACCCTTGGCTCCTTAGTGAATCTGAAGCCAGTCTGGGCTACACAAGACTCTGTCAATAAAATGAACAAAGGGAATCAACCAAGCTTAGTGGTATGATTAGAGCTCTGTGTGCCGCTCTCATGGCGTCAGTGACTGAAGCTGGAAGTGAGTGAGGCGAAGAACGGAATGAACTCATCCAGTCTTCTTTAGCCTGTCACTTTAACTATGTTTCAGCAGCGCTTTTTGATGAAAGTAGATAAGAATTCCCTGAAATACTTAAATGATAACCTGATACTAGCAACACTGTGGCAGTTTTATTAGCCTGATGGCAGAAATCTACATAGGAATTTGAAAGCATGATGATGTAGTAGAAATTTTTAATGGTGTATTAAAGTCTATAACTAAGTTAAACCAATTATGTTCAGTTATGGAATAAGATTTAAACAACATAGAAATAAAGTTGAGCAGTTAGGATGAAGCTTAAATTAATTTTTAGTGTCTATAAGTATTTTACTTTAAACTCTAAGTTACCTAGTTTGTCTATGATCTTCCTAGTGTTGCTGGAGGCCAGTGCTTAAGTTTTTTCTAAATCTCTTCATAGGAAATAAAAAGCTCCCAGGAGAAAGACCAATAACTCTTAAATTAGATACTTTTTGTTGATGTTTATATGTAAGAAATACATAGAATTAGTTTTAACATTATTAAGCATTGATAATAATATAAGAAACAAAAAAATTGTGATCATTTCCACTACCCTCATTTATAACAATAATATAAGTTCTGAATTTTTAAATAATTGACAATTACATGTTGGGGGAAAAAACTATTCATAAAGTTTATCATCATAACTTTATAAAAGAAATCATACATTAGTGTTCCTTTAATATGCTATTTTGACTTAATTAGAAAAGGTTAATTTAAGAAAAAGAGGGAAGCTAACAACTTGTGATAGAATAAATATCCTATTAAAACTCAATCAAAAATTGAGAAATCAGAAATTTGTCCACATATCTTTAACTGTAGGAAAAAACTCCCACAAAAACAGAAATTACCTAAACTAATATAACCAAAGCTACCATTTGTGTGAAGGGAGTGTTTTTGATGTATTGATGAACGAACAATTTTCAATCAATCAAATTCTTCAGAATTTCACAATTCTACTCTTTCCTCTGCCCTTCGGAAGATCTGGTGTTACTAGTATGGCAAGTAGATTGTATCACCATTTTGCAACTTATTTATATCTTTGTAAATCCTTCCATAGAACCACTGCCATGGTTAACTCTTAAAACACAGTTCATAGCCAGGTGGTGGTGGCGCACGCCTTTAATCCCAGCACTCGGGAGGCAGAGGCAGGCGCATCTCTGTGAGTTCGAGGCCAGCCTGGGCTACAGAGTGAGTTCCAGGAAAGGTGCAAAGCTATACAGAGAAACCCTGTCTCCAAAAAACAAACAAACAAAAAACCCAAAGTTCACATTTTTAAACCTTTTTCTCATGTTTAAATAGTTGCTTTCAAGAGATTATGTTGTGCCAAACTTTTACTTTCCCAAGGTAGTCAAGTAAAAACTTGAAGACTGTCCAGCACCCTCCACCTCCATGCCTGTCAGATGTGTATAGTTCCAAAAGGCACACAGGGAAATGCTCTCCTCTCCATTTTCTGCAAGCAGATTTCATTCTGTCCCCACTGTCTGAAGCTAGACAGTGTGCAGTGTTCAGGGTTTGCCTCCTGCACCTCCTAGCTCTCCCAGGAAGGGTAAACACACAAACACACATGCCTGAACTGGAAGCATCATCTGTATCCATCTTACTGCCTCTGGATTTTACAGCTGTGGCTGACTCATTCATTTCCTTTTCTGAGTGATACATCAGATTCGTTTTACCCCTTTGTTCTTTGGACTGAAAAATCTAACCAAAAGTAGCACAAAATCTTTTTAATATCTAATATCTAAAATAAGTCAAAATACCTTTTATTTTAAATATTTTCTTTTTTTTTCTTTTTAGACATAGTTTCTCTGCATAGCCACTTTGTAGACCCTGCTGGCCTCGAACTCAGAGGTACTTTTCCGCCTCTGCTTTCCGAGTGCTGGCATTAAAGGTGTGCACCACCACTACCCAATATTTTCATCCAAAAGAAACACTGGTTTTCTAATTTTAAAGGAGAAGGGACAACTAGTAGATAGTCTAGTTTGTGATCTTTCTGTGGTTGATGATGCTGTGTACCAACTGAATAATTTCTTAGGGATTTAAATATTTGGCTCACAAATGAGTGATAGTTTGTCTTTGAGAGGGAAGAATGATAAGCAAATGCCAATAAACTGTATTTTTTTTCCTTCCTGATCATTTGGCTCTAATGTGTCTAACTTTGCATGCTCTGCTTTTTTTCTTTTTTTTTACCCTTTTTCTTACTTCCAGGAAGAGAGCCCCCTGAGTGTGTCTAGCCCAGAGGGTACTGGTACCTGGCTGCATTATACCAGTGGTGTGGGTACTGGGCGTCGAAGACGCAGATCAGGGGAACAAATCACCTCTTCCCCTGTCTCCCCCAAATCATTGGCTTTCACATCCAGTATTTTTGGCTCATGGCAACAGGTTTTTAAACTTTACTTCATTAAACATTTTTCATTCCTGCATTCAGAGCAACAGACAGCTGTTTTTTGAGGACATCTAATCCCTTGTCATTTACATCAGAGGAAATCCTTCTGTCTTAAATTTGAGTTCACTTAAAAGTACCCGGATATTGGGCAATATTTGATGTAAAGAAACCACTTATGTTGCATGCATTTAGCATTCATACTGGGAAGCTTTTAAATATACAGGAGATTTGAAAATCCCAATTCTCCTGGATTTTTAGCCAAGCTAATTAAAAATGATTTAGAAAAGAAAGAAGTCTTTTTTTTTTACCTTAGTTGTCCTGTAAACTTCAAAAAACCAAATTAATACAATTTGGTGGTAAGAATATTTGAAAAGCTTTTTTCCATTTAGAATTTTCTGTGAATGTGAAAATTTTGAAAATATCAAAAATTATGTCTCCTGGTCTTAATCAGCAGTAGGTATCTAATATTGATTGGTCTCTATGATTCCATTATCTGGAAGTATATAACTTAAGGGAAGTATGTAGTGTGTTTTCCAAACACAACAGCAGGCATGTATGAATTTGTAAAAGTGGTTCCCACTAAAGTAACTTCAGAAGGACTTTCTCTGATGACATATGAAACTAAAACACTCTGATTTTACAATGGAAGGTCTACCACCATGTGACTTTTCTGATAATTTCAGCTATTTCCTCTTGGAAATTTTATGCATTTGATTATAGGAAAAGGGATTATGGTATCCATTAAGGCTGAATATTTAAAGGTTACTCTGATAAAGCCCATGCATGGATCAGAAATTGTATGGTGACTTCAACAGTGTCTGTCTGTCATTTCTTTGGTTTGTGGTTGTTTTCCCTCTAAATACAGGAGCTGTTTAACTGTGGGCAATGGGTTTCTTTTAAGAGAAAGTGAAATTACATCAATCTGTGGATTGTCTCCTTTCATCTGTCATGTTTCATTATGAATGCCTGCTTCGCACCACTTCATTGCAAGGATCTCATAGGAAATGGACTCCCTTCAGAAGGGGATCTTGCATGTCTTTCATGTTTTAAATATTTCTACTAATATTTATCATACAGCTTATTAACCTTTGTCTGTCTGGAACAGGCTGCATATGAAATATGGATTTTAAATTCCTTTTACTGGTATATTTCACTCTTGGTGTTCTCTGTGCAGGTTGTATCTGAAAATGCCAACTATCTTCGAACACCACGAACTCTTGTGGAACAGAAGCAGAACCCTACTGTAGGTATGTGGTGCAAAAGGAATTGTATTCCCTACCCTCCTGAAACGCACTGTTAGGCACACGTATAGAACTCTAAGGTGGTAAAATCATGACCAAATGCTATGCTTTAGTGTGTATTTAATGTGCACAAGTTCAGAATTGTTGGATTATAAAACTCAAAAAATAAGATGTAATTTTCTTACTACAAGAAGTTGTTTAACCCTTTGAGTGACTACTCTGTGGCGATCAATTGCCAGTGTTGGTTTTTATTTTTTTGATTTTTTTTTTTCTGTCCTTCCTTTTGAGGGAGGGATGCTGTAGTTAAGGATAAAATCTCTAGGGTCTCACTTGTCCTTGAACTTATGGAAACCCTTCACTCAGCCTCCCTGGTGTTGAGGTTATAGACATGAGACTTTCAGTGCTTCAATTTATAAAGAAACCTTATTTCAGAGACTGGTAATCTAAGAGGGCTGGACTGTAGGTCAATGGCAGAGCACTTGCCTAGTATGTGTGTGGTTCTTTGTTCCATACTGGGTACCATAAAACAAATCCATTAGGTAAGGTTGACAAAATGCCATTTTTATTTTATTTATTTATTTTGGAGACCGGTCTCTCTATGCATTCCTGGCTGTCCTGGAACTTGCTATTTAGACCAGGCTTGCCTCTACGTACAGAAATCTACCCACCTCTGTAGCTGGGATTAAAGACATGCTCCACCATGCCCAGCTACAAATGTCAAAACGAATTCCATAATACAGCTGCTGTAAATCGTGGCAGAGGAAACACTGGTGGGCAGTGTCCCTTGGTAATCTGATGTTCATGTGAGTGCTACCAGAGTGCTGTCACTGGGTCCAGGTCTGTGTATAGATGCAGTCATGAAAGCCCTTACTTTATACGAACAATAGTCACTAACTTAGAATGAATTAATCTCACATTGCAAAGAAAAGTGCGAAGATACCAGCTGGTGATCACCAATAAATCCAGCAAAAAAATGATGGTTTTGACTACAAGTAAAAAAGAAAACAAACAAACAAAAAAAGATAGGTGAGCAAATAAAGTAAAAAGACTTAAATGCCCTCTGGGTAAGCTAGTTTTTTCATTAGGAGCAGCTCTTTGAGAAATTAAAATGAAACTGGCTATCTAAATAGGCTTGACACAAAACATAATTAGATGTCATTAAGTGCTATAATCTATCATATCTGAACTGTGTTGCTGCCTATGTACGTGAGGATCCCGCTATCCTGAGAGCTTTTGATCTTCCTATGGTATCTGTATTTGATCATACATTACTCTCTTTCATTGAATGATCATATTATATATTTTACAGAAATTATTTATACTTTTCTCAGTGGTGAACATTTTTAAGTGTGAAGACTTTTGCTACAAATAAAACATTGATTTATACTGGCTGTGTTTTATTTATTGACATATTTCCTTGGAGGCCTTTATTAAAAGCTTATTATATTAAGTCACTTGTTAACTTACTGAAAAGGAATGATTTTTGTCTATTTTCATTAATAAATACATTTTTTCATAAGAAAGTATGATAATTCTTAATTCACTGGCATCAGGAAGGATGATTCATTTTCAGATGTATATTGAAAAATATCTAATATGACTTAATTTTTGCTAAAAGGTATATATATCATATATAATACATATATGATATATACGTAACCTCCTCTTACAGATTTGCTATAAGACTCTATTCTGTTCCTAAATTAATTTTCATGGTGGTATTTTTTAGTACTTTTAGCTTATATATGTTTGATTATTATGTTGGCATATTATTTTTCCAAGAAGGCATTTTATCCAGTACTAAATTACTCCATTTGTGTTTGGGATGAATAACGGTGGCTGTTAGAAGCACTGAACTCAAATAGGTGTCACTAGACTATTAGAAGCATATTGCGAATCTGTTCAAGGCACTGCCAAAGGCTGCCTGTGCGTTGGTAAGAGCCCCGTTGGTTGCATGCTGCATGAATTCCCACTGTGAACGGAAGAACACCCGTTGTTGTATGTGTCTTCTCTGACTCCCATCAGGGTCTCACTGTGCGGGCCTGTTTAGCACCTCAGTGCTCGGGGGTTCTTCAAGCGCACCTAACCTACAGGATTATGCTCGTACTCATCGTAGAAAGCTGACCTCCTCTGGCTGCATAGATGGTATGTGCGCACACGCACACAGACTCATGCCTACACCCATGCATACACTCACGGGCAGTGTTTCTCAAAAAGCAAGTCTAAGGCCACAGACTGCAGTAGAGCCTGAGAAACGCGTTCCCACATGACTGTCAGTGCTCTCTGGGATCCACATCCAGGATTTGTTAGTCAATAACAGTTAGATTTAGGCTACATGTACAACAAGTGGTTTGTTAAAATAGAAAAATGTAAAACTTTATTATTTTAGCTGATGAGAACCTAGATTATGAAGAATAAACATTAACACTCGTTTTTTTTATTAATATGAACAAACTATTTAGCAGAGAATAGAATGAGATGTGTATTTGTGAGAGAAAATATATTGGCAGTCATTTTTATAAAAATAAAGTAGAATGGGACATTTTTAGGATCCCTCCCTAATAATATGACTTCAGTTTTAATATTCTGATATTCAGAATGTCTTTGAGACTCACGAAAATTGTTCCTGTTGATAGAAGGGGTATTTTCAGCTCTTTCGGGATCAACATTGTTTAAAACGTTTGCTCTTATCTGTACAGATTTAGCCAGTGAAACATGGATTTACTGGAATTGCCAGGTCACCTTGCTTTTCTTTCTTTTGTATATTCCATTCGACGTTTTGCCTGTACCATCGAGCCGGTTTACCGCTTTTAACCAGTCCTTGGCTTCCTCTCATCGTCCCCTCTGCATGTCACCTGACTCTGACTCCTCACAGATTTATTTTCCACTCTGTTTTAAGTGTTCTTCTTTTGGCAGCTGTGAACTTCAGGTACCTGTTTTTCTCTTTCTCAGACGCCACACGCGGGTCTGCTGTTAAAAGGTTTTCTATCTCATTTGCTCGACACCCAACCAATGGTACGTTTGCTTTTTATTTTAAAAAAGATACTCCCCGCTTCATCCCTTTTTAATTTTTTCTTTTATTTTAAAATGTGGGATACACAGTATCATTTCTTTATCAGTCTTTAATTTCAGTTGGCATACAATTCCAACTCGTAAAACCACTGATACTGTCTTGCTCCCCTTTCTGCCGTAATTTCCACAATAATTGAGCATTACTCGTCAAATTGTCTAATGACCACAGTAATGATGAGCCCTAATTCTGAATTAACACTTGGAAATTCTAATTTCTTAAGTGATCAGTTTATACATTTTTTTAAAAAAAAAAAAATACAATTGCTATTCCTTAATTTGTTCTTAATTCTTAGCACTTCTTTTTTTCTAATTATTTTTCTGATCACATTGTTTTACTGAAATATTCAACAAAAATACGAAGCAACCCGTGTCAGAGAGCCCAGTGAGATATGTCTCTGTAAAGGTCTCTGGAGCCAGCTGCAGCGAGGGGCACTGTCCAGCAGTTATCTGGCTCTCTCCCATAAACAGACCTCGATGTGGTGTGGACGGCTCCAGATACTTTCCAGGATCAATCTGTCCTTGGGTGGCTTTATGGTTTAGCTGTTATCCACAGTCATCTCCTTTGAGTACCTTTCTTTTTCTTAAAAATTGGGGAATTCCTGGTAGAAAGAAAACTAAAGTTAAAAGACTCAGGTTCCGTCAGAGTGAAGCTGGATAGGCGCATATTGCCACTGTTGCTATAAACTGAGCTGTTGTGACCTTGTAGCTTTTTGCTGAGCTTGGATCTTGAGCCAGAAGGAATATTTACTGATAGTTTTTGTTTGGGGATGTTTTGTTTTGCTTGAGCCAGGATCTGATGTTGTAGTCAGGCTATCCTAGAACTTACTGTGTAGACCCGGTTGGTTTCGAACTTCCAGTCTTCCTGCTTCCGCCCTCCCTAGTGCTTGGATCACAGACAAAAGACATCGACATCGTGCCTGGCTTACCGATGGTTTTCAAATCCCATATAGCTTTCACCTGTAATGAAGATACTTTCATCCCTGAAACTTTTTTTTTTAACTGCAAGTAAGTTTAAACAGCTGACCTTTATGAAGCCTAAGAATGGTCTCCATTTGGATCTTTTAACAACACTTCTAGATAACAGCCTGCTAATACTTCTTGAACTGAGTTAAAAGAAGACCTCACCCTCAAGTGAAAATTGAGCTAAATAGCTTAATATGCTTCCTGTCATTGTAGCTGTTTAAATGTTACTTTTTGGAGAAAAAAAAAAAGTCTGATTTGATACAACTGCAACTTCTAAAGGTAACACATCCTTAGTAATCTCCTAGAAGAAAAAAGCACCAGCCCTAAGGCAATCCCTACAGGAGGTGTCAGCTTTTCTATGAATGTCTGTGTTTTCACAGCCAGCACTGGCTTTTCTGGGAAAGTTCTATGCTTAACTACAGGTAAAAGGAGTAGTAGTACTAATTACTTCAATGGAACAGAAAATAAGAGTAACTTTGTATTCCTTTCGTTTGGGCTGTTTCCTTTAAATGGTGGCTTTCCAACAATATACAGCTTGATGCTCAGAACAATATTCCTTTCAGTTCTAGAAATACCCCTTTGGAGTTTTCGATCCTTCATCTTCTTGAATGCCGTTCTGTCTTCTCAGTCTATGGATTGTCATTTGACCCCTTCACTCTTTCATGTCGCCTCTGTCTTTAACCCACATTGTGGACTTCCCTCCCTCCCTCCCTCCACCTGTAGTTAAGGAACGTGGTGAACAAGTATCTGCTGACAGTCTTTCCCTTATTTTCTGGGCCTCTGTGCAGAATACCTATACCTCTGTAGGTGCTGGTCTGCTTCCTCTGTGGAATTTCTAGGCTCCGGCGGTATGTTTTCATAGCTTCCAAACATGTCCGCAGGGTGGCTTTTGAAATGCCTGCACTAACCCTTTCATTGTACCTTAAGAGCTGATTTGATCCAAATGGCAAGAGTGTAGTCTAGAGCAATTTGATCAGACATCACTTGCTGTTTTGAAATTGAGCAGGCAAATGAAAGGCACTCTCACAAAAGATGGCGAGCACCCGGAGAAAGGAGAAAAGCATATTGTTTAGAGAGCTGCAAAGAAAGGATTTGTGCTTATTTGCATGGGCCACTTGTATTTAAGAAGAAAAGGAGCTGGAAAGCTTCCTTCCTCAGTGCGCGCTGAGTGAGGCGCTTTAGCTGCTGCTGGGGTCCTGTGTCGCTGCTTTTGTTTCGTTTCGTTTAACATTACATGAAACGGTCTGTCATGCTTTGGTTTGCACCTGGAAATCAAGCATTAATTTTTTTTTAATCCTTTGGTTATTTTCATAACAATACTTAATTCCCTTTTTTAAAAGTTCCCCATTTCCAACTGAGAATTCCAGCAATTCTTGAGTTCCTCCCAAATTCTAAATAAATCCAGTAGCATGTAATCTCAAAATGAGCATATGTATGTTGAAAAGAGTCTATTTTTCTGTCTGAGTTTAGATAACTTCTGTTTTTTAACTAGTAATACTCTATTTTTATGTTAATTTGAGTATTGCGGTATTTCTTCAGAGAAGATTTAGCTTGAATTTTGGGAAATACTTGTTATTTTAAAAGTATATGAAAAAGTTTAAAGCCACTCAGTTAAATAAACTTTAAATGGATAATTTTATTTTTAAAATGAAGAACTAGTATTTTTTTTGTTTTAGAAAAGTAATTTGTATGTATAAGTGCTTTTGTGTCACTGATTATATTAACACAATGCTGCATGATTCATCATGAAATTTTGTATGCCTGTGCAATGGTTAAATGTGGATATACTTGCACTTTGTATTGCTTTTCACTTAGTCTAACTTTGTTCAACCAGGGATTTCCAAAAATGGAATTATCGGTGTCCAGTAAAGGAATGTTTCAGAATTTTAAGTCCAGCCTGATTGAGGAAGTGTTGCTCAAGGATCACATTAGGGTGTTATTGGCCTTAGAGGAAAATTGCAATTTGTGCTTTACAATTAACTACATAATTAACTCCTGAAATTTGTGTGAGAATTTACTTTCATTATTATTTAATTGTAGAAGTAGATACCGTAACATCCTGGTCTCAGGGAAATATGGCATCAGCTTGTTCATCTGTTAAACAGATCTGACATTGAAAGATGAAAATGTGAAAATTTCTCTCCCCAACACCCCAGATTTTCTCCTTGTTACCTTAGGTCTTAGCAACAGTAAAGGACTGTGTGCATGCTGTCCTGTCTGGTTACATTGAAAGTGATCATGGTCATATCTTGTTTGATTTTATGTTGCATAGCATCTGGTGTCATGACTGGAAAGACCTTGTGTGTTTGCATGTAAAAACCTGAACTCACTCTCCAGTCCTACGTAAGTTGCCTTCCTTTATAATGATTGAGTTTTGAAGTAGCCAACCTTACTCTTCCATTCTGTATTTCTTCTCTTTTAGGCTTTGAGCTGTATTCCATGGTCCCATCCATCTGTCCTCTGGAAACTCTTCACAATGCCCTGTTTTTAAAGCAAGTGGATGACTTTCTGGCTTCCATTGCTTCTCCATCAACTGAAGTTCTCCGCAAGGTCCCTGAAATGTGTACGGAATTTACCTTCATTATTAGTTAATTATCAGACAATAGATATTATCTGAATAGAGCCCAAATTTTAACAATGCAAATTCAATGGTAATTGTGGGAATTTTAAGAGAGACAGAGGTAAGGGAATAATATTAGTAATTCCTTCATGTTACACATGTGTAATAGACCACTTTTCTTGATTCTATTCCCAAATCTTTTTTCTAACAGTAAAAGTAAACAATATCATATAGAGTAGCATCTTGTTTTATTAAAAAACAAAAAAAACAAAAAAAACAACTATGCTTGCTGGAAAGCTCACATATTCGTATTTTGTAACTTACAGAAGGGGTCACATAAACTCGCACATGTCCATCCCTTACCATTTTGCTAAATAATTAGAGACATTTAGTTATTACTGTTGTTTTCTTTCAGTGTTTGAGACAAGGTTTCTCTGTATAATCCTCCTCCTTTTCAAACTCACAATGGTCCTCCTTCCTTGGCTTCCCAAGAACTGAAATAAGTGTGTGCCACCACATTCAACTTTAAAAGGATGTTTTATAAAAGATACCAAATTAGAAGAATAGGCTTTTAAACTGCATTTCTTAAAAAATATTCTGAAGAAGATATTCATGTGTATTAAGAGAGTTCATAGCTAAGTAAGTTTTGGAATTGACTGTGCCCTCCCTAGAGTTACATTAATGTATAAAAGGTTCAAGTTCTGTAAAGAACTCACATTTTCTGAAACATATTTTGTTGTTAGGGGGGGAAAAAAAACTTTTTTTTTTTTTTTTTTGGTAATACATGAAACATCGGTGACACTTGTCATTTTTAGCTCCATAGCATCCCTCAGCCTGTTGGAATTTCCAGTTTAGAAAGCATTAGTTTGAGGAGAGAGCTATTGTAGTTACATCTTAGAAAACCACAATCTTTCTTTGCATGTTATCCTCTTTTCTAAGGTGCTGCAAATATATTCTGCCTAAGCATAAAATGATATACATTGAAGTTCTTATAATTCATGCCACTTTTCTGTCTTGATGTCTCTTCCTTTTCCTGGGCCATCACATTGGATATCTGAGGAGTCCTGGCCACAGTTTAATCTGTCCTAATGACGTCCCTCCATTTCTTCAAGGCGATGATACCCTTTGCCATTTCTTCTGCTTCTGGTACTAGAGGCCAGCTGTCAATCAGTAGTGGTAATGAGGATGTTTCTAAACTATTTCACTTTGGAGTTGCCCTTGGGAAGCAGGCTTTAATTCAGATTTTACATATGAATTGTCCAGTTCTAAGTATCCATAATACTCCAAATGAAATAAGTTATAAATAAGACAGAGTCAGGAAAATAAAGATAATTAATCTCATTTATGTTATTTATAACTTTCCTCAGAATAGATAATCCAAATATGCTCTATTATCATCATGTATTGCTTTCCTCTTAGACCTCATGTTTTATTGCTCGCCTGGGCTGAGCTTTCCAACTCTTCAATTAGAGAATATAGAATGAGTCTCATAAGTGAAAAAGGCTTCAGGCGGCTATTGATACTATTTAATTTTAGAAAGTTTGTAGTTCATGACTTAAAGGTCCTACAGGAGTGATGTCTCTTTGTTCTTAGGGAAAATTTAATAGTTAGAAAAAGATAATCTTGTGGTTTATTCTGTAGTGCTCTTATTTTATGATGGCTTCATTTTTTATAGTTAGTGAATCCAGTTCATTAGAGTGTATTATTATGACATTAGTGAGGTGATTTTAGATTCTTATCCTGTTTGTTCTGATGAACTCTTCTCTACATCATGAGTACAAACTGTACTTCAAGACTTTGGCTTTCTTAAAATTTCATGCTGTTAGCTATTAAAAGAACCAGATATAAAGGTATATCACATAATGTAGTCCATAGGACTATGTAGACATCTGAGGCAGTCTAGATCATTGGACCATAACCTAGATTCCCAACGAGCACTGAAAATCCACAAGTAAGAAGGAAGCTGAATGTTTAGAGCATTTTATCTTCCGTGGCTTTTTCATCCAGCAGATCTGCTTTGATACGTTTTATGTTTAGCATGGTATTTGAGGAAAGTTTCCTGGCAAAGTAAAAATCCAAGTTGACATTGTTAAGGACAATCAACTAGTCAGTTATTAAACAGTACTAAACCCCAGCTCTGCTAAAGCCTTTGTTACACCCCACCTCTAGTTCTTTTGAACTACTAAATACAATGTGCTGCCAGTTATGAAATACCTGAATCTCATATTTTATAGACCAGTTGCAGAATTTATACTTAGTATAAGTACTGTGAGTTTACATTATTTATATTTAATTCCCAGTAAGCACAGAACTGTACTGATTCTGCGGTGTTTATAGCAAAGGAGAAGACATTGCTAATCTGGTAGTGTTAGAAGGCTTTTCTTCACCGAGGACAAACTTCATAAGTTGTAACTGAAGAAGACTGACAGCAGTATATTGACAGTGAGCTCAGACATTCACTCATACAAGTGAGCCCCATGTGCTCTCTGCATTGTGCCCCATCTTTCCCATAGCACTTCATGGCCAACGATTAATTCTTCACCTACTCTTTCTGCACCATTCAGTGTCTCCATGTTGAGTAGAAAGCTGGGCTGTGGAAGGGGAGAACAGCTATCAGTCCCCCTCCCTTCCAGGGAAGATAGCTCTCAGCTGTGTAATAAAGAAAGAAAACATGATGCATTGGACTGCTTACGATACTTACGATAGTTAGTTCTTTCTTAGCTATGATATGTCAGTAGATGAAGATGCTTATAAATAAATAATCCCTAAGTCTACACTTGTCATTAGGATCCTCTTAAAATTACTGTTTGTTATAGGCAATAAAGCTATACCATGGCTCCCTACCATCCCTTTAAGGGCCTCTTAGAGCAGAATACAAGTAATATGTTTGTGGGTTTGGGGGAGGAGTTCTTTGCTATGTACTGTTGAAACTATAATAATATAGTTGCAGTATAAACATTGATTTGAGTGAGAGAACTGCCTTTCTATTAGAAAGATGACTTGGCTGAATTGATGGTGAACCTTTTCTATTATATACTATTATTTGTACTAATTATTGGGCATAATTTTACTTACTATTTATATCATTAGAATTTTTGTAGTTGGGTCTTGTGGCATAGACCTGTAATCCTACCCTCTCAGAAGACTGAGGCAGGAGGATTACAATTTCAAGACTAGCCTGAGCAAGAGTGAATTACAGGGCTGGCCTGAGCATCTTAGGCTGCCTCAAAGTAAAAAGGAGGAATAAAAGGCTAGGGTTAAGGCTTAGTGTCACAGTACTTTCCCAGCACATATGACGCCCTGGGTTCAACTCCCAAGACTGTAAAAATGGGAGTAAAAAACGGTTTCGTAGTGTTAAGACAGACTTGGTAGGAAGTTGTTATATTTTGTTTATTTCTTTCAGCCTCTATGGCCTCACGTGCCAGTCCAGCAATGAGAAGAAAAATTTCCCTAAATACGTATACACCTGCAAAGATCCTCCCCACACCACCGGCTGCCTTAAAGAGTACTAAAGCAAGCGGCAAAGCAGGTTAGAGTGTTTGAACTCTGGATTCCATACAGCAGTAACCGCGGGCGGGGTAGTGTTTGGTGATGTAAAATCAGACCATTGCCTACTGCTTTCCCAGTAGTGATGTCAAATTCAAAACCTATTATCATGACTCATTTATACACGTCCTTATCTATGGAATCATCCTGTCCGCTTTTGCTTCCCTGTCTTCCCCACATAGCGATTGGTCCTAAGGCATCATTTTATGTTGTCCAGTGTTTTTGTCTTCTGTCTGTAGTCTGGTGATGTGACTCCCAAATTCAGCTCTGCTCTCAGCGTTTTTGTTATAACTTCTTGCCAGTGTGATTGTGTGTTGATCCTTCTCCCATGGTTGCCAAAGATGTTCTCCATCTTCACATTTTTTCCTGTTCTCTAATGCTGCTTTTCTGGTCTGATGATCTTCCTCCCTATTCCCCATCCCAGATTGATAATCTAACCCTGTTCATTTTTGGGTTTCATTATTCAAACTCATGGCAGAGATGTGATTCTTTTCAAGGTTTTAGTGTTTTTAGATATTCTTTTTATATGAGTTTATGATTTAGAGTCAGAAGGACATATTTATTAAGTTCTCAGCTCTGCTACTTGTTAGTCATGTGACCTGCCTGACGCTAATCCTTAGTCTCCACTAAGAAAAACTGGGTAATGATTCTTTTATGGCATTGTCCGAAGTGAACACATATGTGTAAAATACTTGGTTACATTATAAACATTCACTGAACAGTAGTTTCTTTTATTGCTCTTGGCTATAGCTAACCTCCATTTCTGCCAGATAAATCATGGCAGTCCTGCCTTATGAATCAGTCAGTATTTTAAATAGATCTGAATCTTGTAGAGTCAAACAAATAAGGGCTATAACGCTAGTGGTCAGCACTGCAGAGTTGCTTAAGTGTTATTTTGATGCATTTAATATACAATACAAAACTGACATTTGTATAGTTCCCCTTTCTAAGAAATTTGTATTGTTTTTATGTCCATGACAATGAAAAAAACAGACGAAGAGGTGTGACTTGTGTCAGTCAGCAGAGCCAGTAATCAGGGGACCAAAGGTATGAATTCTCTTGGGATCGCAGAACACGTTGCTGTTCCTTACGTACTAATTACCCTGTAAATGCACGGCATGAGCGTATTTGAGTAGCAAAGTTAAAATGCTGTTGATTGTGTTATAAGTGGGTTTTAAAATATTAAGCCACTTTTGCAATTCAGAGGTGAATTCTCCCTGTTCATGCTATATGATACACAGAAACTGAAACAACCACCGGAACAAACTGGATTCCGTCCAGGTATGAGGATTTCTGTGTCACATATGGGAAGGCATTGGTCTGTAGTTTCGTGTTCAGAATGTCTTTTTCAGCGTTACTGTCAGAGTGGTGGTATTTTCATAAAACATCTGGGAAATACTTCTCCTTTTGTGTTTTCTAAATATGTTTTATAAGATTTTAATTTCCACCTTAAGTTCTTGGTTAAAAATTAATTTTTATGTTTCATTTTATAGCAGGTTTGATGACTCACATTTGTCAGGGAATTTATTCATTTTGTCTTATGATGTCCACTTTGCTCTTTCTTCATAACTGTTTTGCTGTGTCTGATAATACGTTACTACGTTGTGTTCTGCCTTTTTTTTTTTTTTTTTTTTGGCTTGCACTCACTAAGGACTTATCAATTTTCTGGCCTTTTTAAAGATTGCCTTTTACTTGTTATTCTGCTTGCTTTATTCTTGAAGGTTTATTCCTCCTGTTGGTTTCTCCTTTCCACTTCTTCCTGTAGGTTTTTCCTTTACCTTTATTCTTTATGTCTAGTGTACCCTTTTTTATTGATTTAGGAAAACATGCCCTAATTAAATTCTAGTAATGGAGGGTGGAAATGCCAATTTATTATTTAATTCTTTTTTTTTTTTTTTTTTGTTTTTTTGAGACAGGGTTTCTCTGTGTAGCTTTGCGCCTTTCCTGGAACTTGCTTTGTAGACCAGGCTGGCCTCGAACTCACAAACTCACAGAGATCTGCCTGTCTCTGCCTCCCGAGTGCTGGGATTAAAGGCGTGCGCCACCACTGCTTAATTATTAAATACTTCATATGATTTCTGTCTTTTATATAAGACTTGTGCATATGCGAAGCTCTGGGTTTGATCTATAGTACCATCTCAAAAACAACAAAAAATGTATTCAATAGAGTTCAGTGATCTAAACAGATGAAACTGTATCACTTATTAAAATCATTGTTGATGTTGTAGTGTTCAATATTCTACTTCATGGAAGGAGCTATAGACAGGAGAAGAAATATTTGGTTATTTATCAATAATATAAAGGGCAATTTCAGTTACAGAATTATTTACTTTTCCTTGAATTCAATGAATGTTAGATTTATATATTTTAGAGAACTATTATTTAATGGCTATATATACAATTGTTAGGTATTATTTTGTTCACCCATTTATCACAGTGAAATTTCTCTCTAGATTCTGGTAATATTTGCTCTTAGTTTATTTTATTTGATGTGAGTATAACTCTTCAGCTTTCTAAGGCTTTCTCAATGTAAGTATTTAAATTATCTTATAGGCAGAATATATTTGACATTAAAAATTCACTAAAAATATCAGCCATGTTTATTATTGTGGTATTTACATTCCATTGACCCTCAATGTAATTATTGACAAGACTTCTTTGTTTTTTTTCCTTATTTTTATTCTTTTCTGCTTTATTTGAATTGATTCAGTAATCTGTAGAATTTCACTTAAATACGTGTGTTGCTTTTTGTTGTATTTTTGCAGTATTCATTTATTGATTGCTCTAAATACACATTCTTAGCATTTCCTGGTCTACTTTGAGTTAATTGTGTGTCATCCAAAATAATACATAGGAAACTTGCAGATTCCTTGACTTTTTCTTTTACCTTCATTTCCTCTGTCCTTTCTCTGTAGTTATCTATGTGTGTGTGTTAATTTCACATGCAGTATGAACAATAAAATACAGTGCTGTGACAGTTCCCTTAAGTAATAGTTTATGTTAAAGAAATGAAGTGGGGAGGGAGACACGGCCCTGCACTTGTCCACAGTTGCTGTTTTCTGAGTTTGCCATTCCTTCATTGAAGTCTGTATCCTGACTGCTTTCATTAAGCCGAAGACTTTTTGCCATTTCTTATACTGTGGCTCTGTTGGCAACATAGTCATTTTATCACGACAAAAAAAATGTCTTTGCCTATTCCTGCAAGGTAATTTTGCTCTCATTCTGGATAGAACAGATTTGTTCCTTGACAACCCTGCTGATGTTTCACTGTCTTCTAGTTCCCACTGTTTCTGTAAGAAGTGCTAGTTAATTTGAACTGTCCACGTATCTAACACTTGCGGTTTTCTCTGTCTGTGCCAGTGTTCTCTCCGGGTGTGTGGCTTTCAGCAGTGTGATTATGGTTGCACCTGCTCTTCATCTTCCTCCTTCTTTCTTTGTATTCTTGGTATAGTCCTCATTTCTTCCTCCTGTCTGTACCTCCTTCCATGAAGTAGAACACTTGAACACTGTTCATTTTAACTCAGCTGGCTGTTAAATCCAACCAGTTTTTATTTTGGTTATTTTAGTTTTATGCTTTAATTTGAAGCATTCTATTTGACTCTTCTTAGGTTTTCTTTCAAGACTTACAAGTTTTTATTTATTATGAGCATAAGGATTTATTTTACCACTGAGCATGAAGTTGCTGTTCTAAAAATTGTTTTTTAAATTATTCATTTCCTGATTGGTCTGTGTTAGTTTTCTCCTTTACAAGAAAGATGTTTTTCTGTTTCTTGTTATGTTAAATATTTATAATACCATACATTAATCTTAGTATATTAAGTAACTTTTTAATTATATCCAGTAACTTTTTAATTATATCCTAGACATTATAAATAATACATTATAGAAGCTTTGCATTCTGGTATTTCAGTTATATTTTTTCCAAAGAATATTGTTTTATTTTAAAAGTAAAGAGTTAAATTTGCTGAACTCAGATTGTAAAATTATGTCCCTTCAAGTGGCTGACAGCTCACAAATTCAGTTCTCTTCAAGTAGCCTACACTACCTGAGGCTTTCTGTGCATGCAATAGATTAACTAATCATAGTTATGTGTGAATTACAATCTCTCCCTTCCTGTCAGCTGTCATCCCTATACTTGTCATCTGCTTCTTCATGCTAGTAAGACTGTCTTTTATGTTGGAGTTTTAGCTGAATTATGTGATGGACATTGAGACCAGTTCTCAAACTAAAAGCTATTAGATGGGAATGATGAGATTAAAGAGAATGAGCAGTCCTGTGTTGCTCTATTCTTATACATGTTGATTCTGCTGTATTAACTATCCAATTCTGTCACTTTCTGTTGTCTTTAAACACTGTTGTTGTAGTTGTTCTTCTTTCTTTGTGGCTGACTGCTTGTCATATGAAAAAATGTGTAAACGGACATTTCCTGTCCTGACCATCTGGTCCCAAATAACTGACTCAGAGGCTGAATATTACTTATAAATACTTGGCCGATAGCTCAGGCTTGTTACTAGCTAACTCTCACACTTAAATTACCCCATAATTCTTATCTATGTTTAACCATGTGGCTTGGTACCTTTTCTCAGTGCAGCATTCTCATCTTGCTTCTCTGAGTTTATCGGTGATTCTCTGACTTTGCCTTTCCTCTTCCCAGAATTCTCCTAGACTGGCTCTCGCACTCAATCTCTTCCTGCCAAGCTATCGGCCAATCTGCTTAATTGTTAACAATGAGTATAATCCACAGCAGAAATGTCAGCCTGACAAGCCTATGCTTACATAGTAGAAGTGTGACTGCGCTCAGCGTAGCTCTGTGGTTAGCCCTGGCTTTGACAATGGTACAGACACAGAGTAAGTTCTGACTCAAGAAAGAGTGCTTCTGCCCTTCCAATTTTGCAGCCTTGCATAGTAATGAGATGGAAGATGGAAGAGGATATGGTACCTATAGGGGAAATGATATTCAGTTTTAAGCATGTTTAGTTTATATTTCTTTTCAAATATAAGTAGAGACAGTTCTAATGACTAGTTGGATTTCTGAATCAGGAGCTAAGGGGGAAAGCCTGGCCACAAGTATAAATGAGATTAGCAGAATGGATTGTACTTAAAATGGTTGATATGATTGTTTGCCATGAAGAATATAGAATGAACTAAAAAGTTGGTTTTGTGAACACAGCCTTTTGTCATTACTTTTCTATATTGGTGTAGAGTTCTAAAAAGTTAAAATGTTATATTGAAAGCTTATAATGTTACAATTATAACAAAATAGCCCATCTCCACCAACATTATTTTACCCTTGATGATGTGTGTGTATCCCAACGACACTCTTTCTTCTGTTTGTATAGTAGTCAGCGGGCCATCTCCAGCAGCTACCTCAGCTCGGAAGAAGAGCTTAGCTGGCAAAACTGAGGGCCAAGAACACAAGAAAAGCACCGGGAAAAAAAGATGAACTCACACCAGAATCAAAAGTTCCCATACTTAGAAAGGGACTTGTTGCTTAGCGAAAGATTTGTAAGAAACCTTGACTGAAGCTGGTCAGAGCCAGTGGTACATGTGTTACCAGACCTGACTTTATACATTTGTGTATTTGCTTTAAACACCTCAAAAACCAGAGGACCCTGTGTTTTTATTCTGATGGAGAGCTTTGGCAGGATCTAGAAATGTTCAAAATGTCTGTCAGCTTTCTGTGTGTGAAAAATTCATGACACCTGCTGCTGTCACTGTGATGGTTACCGTGTGCCTGTGGCACAGACAAAGGACGCAAAAATCCGGCTGACTGGTACCAAAGTGCACTCTGATCAGGTGATTCTCTGCACACCTGAGTCTCCCCAAGATTGCATTCAGTAAGATTGGACAGGCGAGATCACCTGTGGAGGACTTTTCTTAAAGTGCATTTCCAAAGAGAGCTCGTCGACCATTTACATTAGAATTTTTTTTGTTATTGTTACTATAGCCTATGCTGCGATATTTATTGACTGGAAAATATAGAACATGAATTATTTTTTCAATTTGTGCTTTGAATTTTATATTATAAATTATTTAAAATATTACAAATACAGGTGGGAGAACTATACCTTTATACACATAAATTTGCAAATTCATTTGTAGAAAATATTTTCTTTATACATTTCTTTACCATAAAAGGTACTTGGTTCATCCAGAAAAATTTTGTTTTCTGTATTAGCAAGAAAGGCATTTTTTAGACTTTCTTTATGAGCTGTAACTGATAAGTTTGTAAATCTTACACTTGATTTTCAGAGTTTTTCTTGAGACCTATAGACTCAGATCCAAAATGGGAGTTGTTAATGTTAAACTGAATTCTGCTGTTAATAAGTGTCATCTATGATACGTTTCTTGTGTTTCCATTCTTATGTTCAATGTATTTGTTGATTTCATCAAAAAAATCAAAGATAGTAAGTAAATGCCATTTATAAATGATAAGATTTGGGAGATTGAGATCACTGTTGTAATTTCATCTAATATTTTTACAAAAAGAAGAAATCATCATTCTTGGTGCTTTTTCCCCTTGATGCACAAATAATTGTACGAAACATTTAAAATGATTTAGAAACTAAACAGTGCAGCCTGCTAAATAACAGTCTCAAGCATTGGATGTGACAGGACTTGAAGTAGTCAGCTGTAGCTTCAACTTATATTTAGTACTGCTGGACCCTTACTGTATAAGTACAGTTATCGTAATGCTTCAAAAGTGACTTCTAACCTTACAGTTCCTCATCCTACAGGAACTGACTTGTAGAGAATAGGCATATTATGTTATCTTGGTTGTTTTAAAAGGGATGAGATACAAACGTTACAAATGTATACAATTAAATAAGTTCATATACTTCACTTGAATGTAAATGGATTATATGGTGATGTATCTTGTAAACAAATGAATGTATGTTAGTTTTCTGTATGTGAATATGTGATTAATGTGTTTATGGTGGGGTGAGGATACTACTTTATTTTTTAAGTGGAATGAATTAAAATTCTTTCTAGAATAAGAGTGACTTGACTGTAAAGTGCTTTATTTGCATTCTTTGTTTTCTTTTCTGTTTCAAAATAGAAAGTCTCCAGTAACATTTTATATTAAATAATAATTAATAAAACTTATTAATGACCCTACACATAGCAGTTTGTCTTCCACCTTAGAAAATATGCTAACACTCATTTTTCTCAGTATTATTTAGTAATTGTGATTTCACTTTATTCACCTAAATCAGTACTATTGCTTTGTAAGCTCGTCTTTTGCAAGAATCTTAGAATTGTTTTTCAAAACACACTGTTGGAGAGTCTGTTTTTTTTTTTTTTTTTTGCTGGTGGTGCACATTTTTAATCCCAGCAATCCTACAATGAGACAGGGAGCAGAGGCAAGAGAATTGCCTAGAACCTTGAAGGGCAGCTCGCCTGCAGAGTGTTAGCAGGTACAGTAGCAGAAACAAGGAATGATTCTGCCTCAGTAAGATGGAAGGTGAGAACTGATCCTGAGGTTGTCTTGATGATCCTGACCATCACCAACAGTGAGCTTTCTCTTCCTCTCTCACTGCCACTCTTCCCCACACATTTT